CATGTAGACTTTGGGTCGCATATCGGCTTGTTTCAGTCACCAGCAGATCCCAGATGGCAGCACTGAAGTACAGCATAAATACCTCTACTGCTGACAGTCCAGTAAAGTCGTCAGTGGGGCCAGGATTTCCTGTAAATTGCAGTGGTGTGGGTACATGGTCTGCCGTGCTTCGCCAGCCCTCACGGAAAATTGGTTGCTTGGGTTTACCAGGGCGACCTGCTGCAACTCTGCCCCGGCCAGCGCCACTGCGTTCCCCACGAGTACGTACTCCACGTCCACCACGAGCAGGTACTCCGCCATGAATCCCGCAACCAGCGTCACCGGGACCTGTTGCGTGCCCACGGCCAATGCCACCCGCTGTTGCACCGCTCGGACCCAACGTGTTGCTGTCGTGAGACCCTTCAGAATCTGACGAAAAACCGGCAGATTCCTCCTCAGATTCCTCCTCAGAATAGTCGGAATCACTGTCGGCACAAATCTCTTCAAGAATTCGGGCATCTCTCTCATCTATGTTGATAACTTCGCAGCAAATCTTCTAAAAAGTTGGGTTCAGTGTCAAAGTTCGCATGGCATTTCTCGGAATTATCTAATGGTGACCCCTATTGAATTATACATCATTGAAAAGCCCATGTGAGGTGCTTTCCAACTGTATAAAGGTCATCAACAGACGGCAGCAAATAAAGTTTTTAGACCTAATTGAAAATGGGCATTGCGCCCGTCGACAAAAGTCGCCTATGGGAAGGAAGCGCAGGTTACCGCGCGTCGATAAAAGTCGCCCATGGGAATGAGCACGGGTGAGCGCTCTGTGGACGAAAGTCGCCCATGGGAATGAGAGGGTTAAGTCGAAACTCCATTTACCTTGAAGTCTTTCTGTATTGCCGACAAAAGAATAGGCCTGTAATATATGTACAATAAACTATCCGTAACTCAAAATGTCAATACCACTGAAGCCGCTTATCTCGAAGTTTTGGTAGGCCAATTAAAAAAAAACACTGAAAAATGATGAACAAAAGTGATTAAAGAACGCTTGCCTTCATTATGAGTCATTACTGTCACGCGCTCGGCTCTTCTTTGATTAGCCAAGCATGTTCACATGGGCTGCCATTGTCACGTCGATAAAGGGTGCAGACCACTAATTCAAGTGAGAATTTCTGGCCAGCTCATTAGCATTAAAAGTATCTTTTGAAAAAGGAGATTGCTTGGCCCCCTTAATGATGAGATTGTGTAAATCGTTGCCAGAATCAACTCCCTGGGTCTTTCAGCTTTCATATGAG